TTTTTTTTTTTTTTTAAGGGGGGAAAATCATCGAATGACTGCTCCCGCCTGGGTGAGGCGGGAGGGAGTGTCAGACTCTTACTGACTAAAAACCACCCCGTTCCTTCTCCTGCACGTCGAGCCGGAGCCCCGGTTACCCGTTAGGTTCTCCGCGACATCCCCGAAGGGGTAGGCGAGGTGCACATTATGCTAGTGTACAATGTAACACCCACTTTTCACTATTTATGTTATGAGTCCCATGTAATAGGGGGTGAGCCTATTGCCATATACCGGACACAATTCCAGACTCCGTGCAGTATTACTGAGATTTTTTTTGAAAACCCAGTAATACTTTGCCCGACCCGGGATTCGAACCTGAGACCGCTTGCCCGGCTTATGTATGTACGCATAAACCTTTAAAACTACGCAACGGATTTTGATGCGGTTTTTTCTAATAGATTGAGTGATTCTTAAGGAAGGTTTAGATGTATAATATATGCATATTGTACCCGTGCAAAGCCGGGGCGGGTCGCTAGTAATGAATAAAGTAATTAGGTACTGTTTGTTTTCATTGATAAAAGTCTTCCGTTTATCATTATGGTGACATGTATTATGATGGCTGTGTGTGTATGTGAATTTGTATGTGTGTAACTTTGTACACCCACGATATGAGAGTAACAGGGTATAAATAATCCTAGTATGGGACGTTTTAAAAAAAATTGTTTACGAAAATAACCGCAAAAGATTAATTTTAGTAATGTATTCATAATTTACTGTGGAATTAGTCAAAACAGGGCCTCTAGCCAAACGCCACTTTAGCGCTTGTCTACAGAGAGAGTAGAAATCAAAATGTATGGGGATGACACTGACAAGTGTCAAAATTTAGCCAAAGCAAATAAATTTAGTTTTATTTGCTTTGGCTACAGCTGCAGTATCGAAAATAAATCTTCATAAAAAATTACATAAATGATAAAAACAAGTAGGTATATTAACAATAATAGTTAATTAAAAATAAAAATATCCAGGCTAAATAAGTGCAACTTAAAAAAAACGAAAATAACCAAAAAGTGAAAGTTGAAATTTGACATTAGTAAAATCCAAAATGGCGGCTTCACCATCGGCTTTACCACCGACGCTAAACGATCCAGAAATCGAGAAACATGTCGAAGAACTGGAAAAAGTTAAAAGTCCTGAAGAATTTGAAAGTAAATTGTCGAAAATTGGCTTCTCAGTAGCCAATTGGATGAAGATACTCTTCAACAGTGCTCAGGAGGAGGAGTTCCAAGCTGAGTGGTTGACTGTAAGTAGTTTTAGGTCTTCTGATTACTTACCAGGTCAGGTATCAGGTGATTTGTCTGCACGTTGGTCCTCTGCCTATCCTAGGAAAACACTGGATAGCTGTTAGCTGCGTAATATGTCAGTTTCGTCTCTCATACGACACGATATAGTTTTATTTCTCTTATGAAATAACTATTTGTTTAAACTACATGTGCAACCCATAAGTAAGGGCTCCGGTTAAGCTCGAAACTAGTCGGGCATTCCCAAAATTTGTGTCTCTGTAGGATATCGGGGTGGATTTTAATCAGCAAGTCTGACAGTCCTTCTTCATTCTCTCCAGTTCCCATTCGAATGAGGAACAAGATACTCCACCCAGGATAGCAAATGAATGAATTAAAATCTCCTCCTTTCTCGGAAGTCGGTTAAAATTAAAAGTATCTTTTTGTCTGTAATTGGGTACTTTCCATAATCAAAAATAAATTATATGGACTGTTCAATACAATAAAATATTAAGAAATAATCACACTTTAATTAACTGATTTTATGACAAACTTCATTTTAGTATTTTTCCAACATTTTATTAAGAAATAAGTACGCTGTTAGACGCTAAAAAAAACGTGACGTCACAATACACAATCTCGTACAAATTATTCATAGAAAACTGTCGTTTTTGACAGTTCGAAAAAAAGTATTAAATTAGTTGGCAAGTACCCTATTACCTATGTGTACAGACTATGTTATGTTATGCAAAGTAGGTTAAAAGACGTAATTATCGTATTTGCCTAGATACAAACAGACTTATTTTAATTAATGCTGTAGAATTTATGTTATCTACTCTAAACACAGATAAAATAATAATCAGTGCTAGAGCAATACCAACAGCATAAATTGTACTAATTAGCTTGTGGGCATATCTTCGGCATAGAATAAAACAAAGTCGCTATCCGCCGTCTGTCTGTCCCTATGTATGCTTAGATCTTTAAAACTACGCAACGGATTTTGATGCGGATTTTTTTAATAGATAGAGTGATTCTTAAGGAAGTTTTATTTGTATAGTACATGCATATTGCACCTGTGCGAACCCGTGCGTCGAACCCGTGCGTGCTGGAGCAGGTCGCTAGTATAATATAAACGAATAAAAAATGCAGCATTGTATCATTAATTATACTCACTTTCACCAACCTATCTTAAATTTTAATAAACCTCTAAGAGAACTTAGGTGTATATAGGTGGTACTTAATAGTACAGGGGTTAGTTTAGGTGCTCTTTAAAGAGATGGTTTATAGGTGGTTGGTGGAAACGGCCATTGCCCACATAAATGTCGCGTCAGTTGTCCTCCTTCCTAGATTAAGGGTCCCGTGCGTGGCTTGAAACCAATCGAGTAACCTCAACAGTTTAATATGTTTCACGATAGTTATTATACAAAGATGGTATCATAATTAATTATTATGTATAACATATATAAATCTATATGTAATCAAGAAAAACAAATCTGTCGCATATTGTCCTTGAATATATAGACTTTATAGATAAATACTGTTTGTATGTTACTAGGTTAACATAGTATATTGTTGCTATGATTAGATAAAAACCTATTTTAGATTTTAAGTAAACGTGACAGCCAAATATGGAGTCTCGTGTTCGATTTCCTGTTTGGGCAATTCGTATTTTTATTACCGAGTTAAAAAAATAGGAGGTTCTCTGTTTAACCTGTATGTATGTATGTGCGCGGTTGTATCGCGATTAGCTGAACCGATTTTGATGCGGTTTTCAGAAAAGTGTTGATTACACATAGGAAATTGTTTTAGTACATATATTAATTAACTGACTTAAAAAAGGAGTTAATTCGGGTTTTTAAACGTAGTAGACACATACTAAATTTATTATTATGTATTCGGCTTTCTCACGTAACTGTCTGACCAGGGGGCTTAGGTACTCTTGAATCCAATTCCGATCGATCGACATTGGTATTGTGAAATTTCGTACTCTCGAGTTGCAACACTAGCGCCCATTGCATCCGTATTGCGTGGATATTGAACGAACTAAATGGTATTGAGTTTGGCTTTATATTCCGTACTCTGAATGCTATTTTAACAGCTACGATAGGGGTTGAAGAGTTTTGACATTTAATAATTATTGAGATTTTATTGGATTGAAATTGCATTGACATTGAGATTGTTTTCAAGAGTAAGCACCCAGAACTTGCGGAATGCTGCTCATGAATATGAGCCTCTAGCATGGCTTGAAACTAGTCGAGTTCCTAGTCAAATTGTTACGCAAGTAAGCCGAAAACATAATAATTACTATAGTTTTTATAATTATTTCAGTGATAACACAGAATTTTTCTAATTGACAATAGACAACATGCCCCTTTGCCTACACCTTAGAAAATAAATAATTGTGACATACATACATACATAACTTCACGCCTGTCTCCCATGGGGGTAGGCAGAAACTTATGAACGCCAAATACATACTACGATTCTTACATACCTCTTTCGCTTTGTGACATTTATTTGTTTATTTAATAAATAGGTATACCAACAGCTTCTGTATACATAGTATTAAGAAATAACAAAGGTAACAACAGGTATTGGGCTTAGACAGTCGCCAATTATAGGTTAACCAACTTTACAATTAAGTTATATCGTATTCACGTGAGTAACCCGCGATATTTTAGTTAATTTAGTATGCCTACAAATATTTTCTAAAAACGTGATTCCCTTGTCCACAGATAGACGAATATAAAGCGCAGGCGCATGAAAGCATGCAGAATGCGTGGCGTATAGTGAACCTGTCAAACTGGAGCGTTGAGAAGAAGGGCGCCAAGGGGGACCTCGTCGAGTCCAAGAAGACTGAACAGTTCGGGAAGGTTTATAGGTTTACTGTGAGTATCTATACATAATGTATCTGACTGCCTCGACTGCGAAGCTTTAATACAAGGTTTAATATTATTATTAGTTACGTTTGATAGTTACGGCTACGCGGTTAACTCGTCGAGTACCGGTTTTGCAGACACAATTATAGAACAATAGGTTGCGGTCACCGGTGACCGCTTGGTGTTTGACAGTTTAAGTATTCTAATTTCTACAGAAATTGAATAAAATATTTTAAGCAGGTAACATTTTTAATTGGAAAATAATAATGGTTCCGAAAAACAAATTAATCTCCAGTGATCTGTGGCCGACTATAAAAATGGATCTTCGAATAACAAAACTAAACTTCCGAATAGAATATTGAACCTTCTACAAAATTACTAAGTTACCGACAACAGACGTTTTAGGTTAGGTTAGTAATTGGGTTCGGGCCCCACATAACCCGGTCTCGGCCCCGCGAGGCCGGGTATGCACGGCATTTTCCCGGGCAAAAAAAAATTCAGTAAGGACAATTCTTCTTTTCTTGTCGGAGCTTTTATTATTACCTTTTTAAATTCGACCTCTGTCAGTGGTATGAACGGACTAAAGCTACGCGCTGTCATTCAAAAACGCTTCCTAGAAGTTCATATATCTCGTCTATTAGCGCTGACGATAACGCCGTGACTAAAAACCTTGGGCGTCGGAGATAGCGCGACGATCTCCGGCCACCGTAAGTGCGGGTCTGCGGACGGCGAGCAAGGGTAGCTCGTCGCCTGATCAGAACCAGGCGCCCGTGCGTACGGTGCGTCGCGTTCCGCGCGCGACACAAAGAGTCATCAAACCACTACAGATGATGCCTAGTAGGGCTGATGCCCTATACGGAGCCGCGGAAGGCCTAACGGCTTGACGAGGCTCCGGATCGAAGTGCAGGAGTAGGAACGGGGTAGTTTTTAGTCAGTAAGAGTCTGACACTCCCGACGTCCGCCTCACCCAAGCCAAGAAGTCATTGAATGATTTTCCCCCCACAAAAGAAGTCTTATAGATTCGATAATAGGTACTTTGTCCGGGAAATAAACTCAACACATCTTTACACAGCACTCAGTAGTCATAACTATGTACGTAATGTGATTGCCTGTACCTATATAATATACTAGCGACCCGCCCCGGCTTCGCACCGGTGCAATATGCATGCATTATACATATAAACCTTCCTTAAGAATCACTCCTTCTATTAAAAAAACCCATAGCAGCGCCATCTATTGATTACTTACTCAACCCAGTCGAAAGTTATCGACATCTGTTAGAATCATTAATTGGAGTTAACAGATAATTGTGACTGTCAAATAATAACAGACAAATAATCAATACATAGTATAAAACAAAGTCGCTTTCGCTGTATGTCCGTATGTATGCTTAGATCTTTAAAACTACGCAACGGATTTTGATGCGGTTTTTTTAAATAGATAGAGTGATTCTTAAGGAAGGTTTGTATGTATAATACATGCATATTGCACCCGTGCGAAGCCGGGGCGGGTCGCTAGTTAGCAATAAATTAAAATTGCGACTATAATTTGAGATTTAAACTATCCTATCTCTCAAGTTGTATCGAACTGCACATGGTGTGCGAATTTTATTACAATCGGTTAAGTGGTTTTTTTTTTTTTTTTTAAGGGGGGAAAATCATCGAATGACTGCCCCCGCCTGGGTGAGGCGGGAGGGAGTGTCAGACTCTTACTGACTAAAAACCACCCCGTTCCTTCTCCTGCACGTCGAGCCGGAGCCCCGGTTACCCGTTAGGTTCTCCGCGACTCCGAATCGGCATCGGCCCTATTGGGCCCCATCTGTGGTGGTCTGATGGCTCTTTGAGGCGCGCGCGGAACGCGACGCGCCGTACGCTCGGGTCTGTTTCTGGTCGGACGGGGAGCCACCCATGCTCGCCGTCCGCAGGCCCGCGCTTACGGTGGCCGGAGATCGTCCCGCGATCCCCGACGCCCGGTGTGTCCTTCGCGATGGCTGGGTTGCGAGGAGGCAGCGCTTCGCTGCCTCACGCGTCCCGCCTCCTCCTTAGCTAGCATGACTGCTTCGCAAAAGGAGGAGACGGCATCCCAATCCCCCTCGCTCCGCATCATGGCCTGCACTAGGCCCGGACGCGAGAGGTCGCCATCGCCGATCACTTCCCTGAGGACACGGCGGTGCTCAGCCCACGAAGGGCATTCTCCCACCGTGTGTTCCACCGTGTCCTCAGGGCGGTCCTCGCAGTGATGACACCCGGACGTTTCCTCGCGCCCCATCAGACACAGGTACCTCCCGAAACTTCCATGTCCGGTGAGGACCTGCGTCAGGCGGTAGGTGACGGTTAAGTGGTTTAGGAGTCCATTGAGGACAAACATTGTGACACGAGATTTATATTATGTATATTAAGATGAAACCCGTTTCCCGTTGTCACACCATAGCTTGAGAACGGCTAGACCGATTTGGCTGATGTTTTTTGTTGTGTTTGTTATTGTCAGGAGACGGCTCTTATGATAGAAAAAAAAATCCTGAAAATCTTATGGGAACGGGAGAAAACGGGATTGCGCGTACGAAGTCGCGGGTTGAAGCTAATAATAAATAAAAAAAATGATGTAACTCTATATTCTACTTGAAATTTAGAATATACAATGTATACCATGATAAAAAGTCTTATCAAAATTAATGATTTTGACTCCTGAGCACGGATTTAGATAATAGTTTCAATATTAATCAGTAATTAATTCTTGTTTAATCGGATTACATGTGATTTGTACGAATTACCTCATTGTTTCAAAGTCTGTCTTTGTTCTAGTTTGATTATATGTACATAGATAGTTGTTATAGTTTGGTATGTACTTTACTAAATAAAAAATAGAAAATATTTCGATTGTTCAGTACAATGAAATATTAAAAAATAATCACACTTTCATTATTAAATATTATGACGAACTTAATTTTAGTATTTTACCAGTATTTTTTAAGAAATAAGTATGGCTGTTTGACGCTAAAAAAAATGTGACGTCACAATACACAATCTCGTACAAAATTCATAGAAATCTGTCGTTTTTGACAGTTCAAAAAAAATATTGAATTTGACTAGTTGGCAAGTATCCGATTAGACTGTCTCGTTAGCAAAATGGTCGGGTTCGATTCCCGGGTCGGGCAAAGTATTACTGAGTTTTTAAACAAATCTCAGTAGTAGCACGGAGTCTGGAATTGTGCCCGGTATCTGGTAATAGGCTCACCCTCTACTACATGGGACTGATAACATAAATAGTGAAAAGTGGGTGTTACATTGTACAGTGGCATTAAGTGCCGTAATGTGCACATCTACTTACCCCTTCGGAGACAAAGATTAGCCAATACGAACAGACAGACAAAATGTATAAAAAATGTTATTTTGATATTATGTGTATCATATGTATATTGTACACTACGCATGAAATAAAAATCGGGTTTTTTTTAATATTACCAACACACAGTCCAATTTTATTGATCTGTATGTATAAATGTATTTTTTTTTCTATAACATATATATTTTATTTTTCCAGGGTATAGTGGAAGCTCCTCCCAAGTTTTTGTACGAAGAGTTCAAGGACAACATTACCAAGCTACCTGAATGGAACCCTACCATATTAAAGAGTGAACTTATAAAGGTACAGTATTGTATTATTTGAATAGTATTCTTTTTTTATGGCATAAGCCAGTAAACGAGCAGACGGATCACCTGATGATAAGCAATCGGCGTCGCCCATGGACACCTGAAACACCAAGGCGTTACAAGTGCGTTACCGGCTTTTTTGGGATTAGATATTTGAGAATTGTGGAGGATTCGGGGATTTGAGAGACTAGGGAGGGGGTTTTTTTTTTAAGGGGGGAAAATCATCGAATGACTGCTCCCGCCTGGGTGAGGCGGGAGGGAGTGTCAGACTCTTACTGACTAAAAACCACCCCGTTCCTTCTCCTGCACGTCGAGCCGGAGCCCCGGTTACCCGTTAGGTTCTCCGCGACAAGGGAGGGGGTAATTGCGCCTCCGGTAACCTCACTCACAAGATGAAACACAACGCAAGCATTGTTTCACGTCGGCTTTCTGCTCGGCCGTGGTATCACTCCGGTCGAGCCAGTCTATTCGTTATTGTGTTTCCTGAAGGATGTCTTCAAGGTCCGAGTAAATAGGTTGCTTATGAAGCCGTGGTCCACCGTAGGCCGCATCTTTGGGCACCACCAGACGAGATAGTGGATAAACGCTGGTCAATAAAAAAAACTCCAAACGGGGGTCCACGTACTTGTTACTCCTCTGGTGTATTTGTGTGATCTACAAATTATAATAAAGCCTCAGTGCCAATCTCTTCGAAGATAGCCAAGAAAAAGAAAGAAACATTATGCAATACAATAAATTCATTCGTCGTTCAATCACTCATTCCTAATTCATTCATTCAATCATTCATCCAATCATTCATTCATTCATTCAATCAACTGTTTAAAACTCATTACCCATCTTCTTTTTCCAGGAAGTAGGTCCAGGCGTAGACCTGTCCTACCAGGTGACAGCCGGCGGTGGCCGTGGTATCATTGCTCCTCGCGACTTCGTGATACTTCGATGCACTGCGCCACTGAACAAGGAAGGGCAGGTCGTGACGACAGACCCGTACAGCTACATTAGTAGTGGAGTCAGTGTTACCGTGCCTGGATATCCACCGCATAGGGATCTTGTCAGGTTAGTTAAAATGTTTGAATCATCGTCCTCCCATCTCCAAATCCTTAATACTTGAACACCCTTGTTGAGGGAGGGAAGTCATCCAATGACTTCTCTCGCCTTGGGTGACGCGACTAAACACAACTCCTTACTTACTTCTGCGGAGAGCAGGAACCACGGCAACCCGTTAAGTATTGAAGTGGTTATTTTGCTATTTAAGCTGGACTTCCCCCCTTCCCCAATCTCCCCAAACCTTGAATCCCCAACAATCCTCAAATTCCTAATCCCCAAAATTTCGATTTCAAACTTGTAATTAGAAATTATAATACCAGGTTTCCTCATAATTTTTTCCTTCACCATTTGTCAATGATACACTTTTTTTTAAGGGGGTAAATCATCGAATGACTACTCCCGCCTGGGTGAGGCGGGAGGGAATGTCGGGCACTTACTGACTAAAAACCACCCCGTTCCTACTCCTGCATTTCGAGCCCCGGCTCGACCGGGTTACCGGGGCCCCGGCCCCGGTAACCCGTTAGGTTCTCCGCGGCTCCGTATCGGTATCAGCCCTATGGCCCCATCCGTGGTGGTCTGATGGCTCTTTGAGGCACGCCGTACGCTCGGGAAAAAAACCACTCATATGGTTTCCTTTAATTTCCAGAGGTCAAAACAAGGTGGGTTGTTGGTTCCTAAAGCCCCGTACAGTACAGACGCCGGGCGGCAAGATAGAAACACACACCGTCTTTCAATGGCTCATGTGTTGCGATCTCAAAGGTAAGACAACGTTTTTGATTTTTAGTGTCATAATAAATTTCCGAAATGTCCTAAAATTGTTAACCCCTAAAGAAAGAAGGTACTATCTATATTTATAACTGTATTACTTGCAAAAGATGGCCGTTATTTATTAACTTTTCTGAGAATCACTACATAGTATAAAACGAAGTCGCTATCCGCTGTCTGTCTGTCCTAATGTATGCTTAGATCTTTAAAACTACGTAACAGTTTTTCATGCCGTTTTGTTTAATAGATAGAGTGATTCTTAAGGAAGGTTTATATGTATAATACATGCATAATATAGCAGAGAAACACTGTTAAATTTAGAGGTTTCAAATATTGCAAACGCTTGACGAACCCTACGAGTTAGACTAATTAATGTAGGTACTACAGTATTGTCCACATTAATTGTCCAATGACAATAAAGCATTTATATGTATAATACATGCATATTGCACCCGTGCGAAACCGGCGCGGGTCGCTAGTTGATAAAAAATTGTGTTCTGGCTTCGCGTCGACCACTTCATTTCTCTGCTCTTCCCTATGGTTGACTGTCAGAGAATACCTTAAGGCATTAAGTCGAATGACGGACTTATGTTATGTTTTGTGAAATAAGAATAAATTAATAAATAAAATTGCTTAATTTGTATATCTGGATAGCCCATCTGAATATGTCAAACATGTCAAACAATCATGTAATATGTGTTTTTATTAGTAAACGCGTCGACTATACAGAAAATAAACCTAGGGGCTAACAACGTTTCAAAATTAAATAAAAATTGGAAAAGAAAAATCGAAGTAATTCTAAGAAAAAAAACAACATCTCGTGCCATCTTCTATTCATCATTATTTATCATCACTACATAGTATAAAACAAAGTCGCTATCCGCCGTCTGTCTGTCCCTATGTGTGCTTAGATCTTTAAAACTACGCAACGGATTTAGATGCGGATTTTTTAAATAGATAGAGTGATTCTTAAGGAGAATTCGCATGTATATTACATGCATATTGCACCCGTGCGAAGCCGGGGCGGGTCGCTAGTATCGTATATACTATTATCATCACATTAGCCACACTCGCTCAATTACTTCAAGATCACTAAAAATCAATTTAATTCTATTTTCTTCACTTCCAGGTAAAATACCTCAGTTCGTGTTAGACGCAGCGTTCGCAACAGTAATGTTAGACTACATAGTACACGTCAGGAAATTCGCAGCCGAAGCCAAAGAGCAGGGCAGGTTTTAACCAACCATTATCAACGAGCAACCAGCCGTTATGCTGTAACCACTCATTTTATAATCAGTGGTTTCCACAACCACTCGTTTTTGATAGGGCTTCCAATCGCGCGTCTCTATACAGTATTTGCTGGATTATTGATTTTCAGAAGTTTCTATTGTGATTTTTTAACTGTATATTAAGTTTAAAGCAATGTTTTTTTATACCATTTTAATCGAAAATAAATCTATTTATAAATATACAACTTTTGTTTTTAAAGTAGTCAACAAAGTGCAGTAATCGAATCGGGTTTTTAACAGAAAGACAATGAATTTCTTTTTATTTTTGCTTTTATAAAAGCATAACAAAGAGATTTCAGTAGAATCATTGATTTTTATTTGTAATGAAATGGCATGTGTTATCAAGAACCATAGAAACACTGCTGTGGAATCAATCGAAGACGCCATCCTAGCTTCAACACTAACTTTTGGTCAGATAAGCAGACGTCAATTTTAAGACGCTCTCAAGAATATTTCTGTCACTACAAATTCTTCGTAAAATGACAGACAGCACGACATTAAGTACAAGTTAAAATTACATAAATATCATTTCAATATTAATTGTAAATGATAAAGATTTGAACCGTGTTCATCTATGTTTGTATCTGAAGACAAAGTTCATTCCAAGTCTCTTTATATATTCGTCTTTATGCCACTTTTTATCCAGCGAACCCCGCAGGATCCTGTATGCTTGGATGATCGTGCTCTATCCCGATTTAACGCGACTGGAAGCCCTATTTTTGAACTCTATTTGAACCTTCCGTTAACAAGTTTATACTTTAATGGTTTTTCATGGTTTATTTAACCTAAGCTACAAAGTCATTTTATGAATGGAGCTTCCATTTGCTAAGGCATTGAAACCATTAGCTTAAGAATTTGCTTCAGGTTATATGAGGTAACCAAAGGTTAACAGTAACCAATCATTAATAACCAACGTTTTTAGTGGCTTAAGAAAAACTATTTGACTGATAAGTCCATGCTTTAAACGTATAAAATGAATGGATTTTTTAAGAGCAACCATGTACCAACTAATTGAAGCTTGGGTTTTTTTGTAACCCGTTGCTAACAACCAGCTGTTAAGAATGTATTTTTAAGGATAGTTAAGTAAGAATAGCAAATAATAAATTAAGTACTGATTGTAATTATTATTAATTTTTATTGTACAATAAATAATATGAAATCCTTTATCAATTTTGATGACAAATCCTAGGTAGTTAAAATTCAGTTACATTCAAATTATTTTTTATTGCGTTAGACAGAATTATAAGGAAGATGACTACGTATTTTTTTAATCACTTAGGTAAACAATAACAAAACTAGTTTTTTTATTAACTTTCTTTTGAACGTTTACTGAGATTTTTGTAGGAAATTCAGTTAGTTGTTTTATTAAATACTCCTCAAGCGAGCTACATGGCACAAATTGGCAAGTTTCATATAAAATGGTGTAAGAATTCTGTCTTTAAAATATGATGGTCTCGATGATATATTAATATTATTGTTTTAAATTAACTCGTCGAGTACCGGTTTTGTAGACACAATTATAGAACAATAGGTTGCGGTCACCGGTGACCGCTTGGTGTTTGACAGTTTAATTGCGTTTAGCGTTACTCACATAACTGTTTGTCGAGGTAACTCAACGAGTTTCGGGCTGCTCTAGGGACTCTAATTGACGCAGTTGGTTGCGCGTTGTGTGTCGCGCAATACTGCTTATAATTACTTAGTTAGTCCTAGTTTAGCTTGAAACTAGGAGCGAAGAAACTAGGAAACGAGGCCACTAGTGGTTTTTCTATTTCATAAATATATTCTGACTCATTTCATATTATGACTCATTTGGTACTTCATGCATGAAAAGATTGATGACTGTTGATGAAGCGAAAGAGGTAAGAATCGTAGTAATTGGCGTTCCATAGTCTCTGCCTACCCACATGGGAGACAGGCGTGAAGTTATGTATGTATGTAAGAATACTTTTTAAGTTATAGGTGGTTTGATAACATGAAATAGACGCCAGGGGTTTCGTTTCTTTGCTCCCAGCTTCATGTTACCTCGTCACACAGTCACATGAGTTGTAGTCAAAATCTTAAACGCCACCCAATTATACGACGCTCTCAAGAATAGTTCTGTCACTACAAATTCTTTGGGAAATGACAGAGATAGCACGATATTTAAGTACAATTTAAATTTGAGTAGCATTTCAGTATTCGGGCGGAAAACGTGAATTAAAATTGAATATGTTTCGCGATAGTTATTATACAAAAATGAATTTTATTTTAATGCAAGACTATTAATATGCAGTACACTTGAAAATGCAATGTACATTGTTGTACAGATATACATATTTACTATAAATTACTAACACAACGAAATTTATTTAGTACATAATGTATAAAAGTTCAATTTCATCAAAATATCCTATTTAAGAGACTATAATTTCTCCTTAGTATAGGTAATCATTTTCTTTTATAATTGTTAATAATTATCGCAAATATTTTTTGGCATAACAGGACTCGAAAAACGAAATAGTTTTCAAATCATTCAATGAATGAGTGCATGAATGAATGAATGACAGCTGGTTCAAATCATTCAATGAATGAGTGAATGAATGAATGAATGACGGCTGGTTCAAATCATTCAATGAATGAATGACGGATGGAATGAATGGTTATTCAAGTTACTCAATAAAAACTTGTTCTTCACATGTATATTTTGTGAACTGTAATAAAAATTCGCTATGAGATTAATAATAGAAATTAAAAATAAACCATTACCTCTTTTTGGGTAACGAAAGAGTCACTATATTTATATTATAAATTTCGTGAGACATACTTAATGAATTATTATGTTTTTCGGCTTATTCACGTAACTGTTTGACGAGGAACTCGACTAGTTCCGAGCCATGCTACAGCGTAGTGCGTCGCGAAATGCTGCTCATGAAAATAAGTCTCTAGCATGGCTTGAAATTAGTCGAGTTCCTCGTCAAATAATTACGTGAGTAAGCCGAAAAATATAGTAAATAATCGAAAGAGTTTTGTTTGTGTGTTTTACTTTAACAAAATATTTTGATGAAATTGAACCTAGTAAAATAATAACTAGTAATGCTAGATTTCTATGTATATAATACCTTCACACGTAAGTCTGTAAGTGGGTAGGCAGGGGTGTCAAGGGAATAACAAAAACAATATTTCATATTTATTTTGTATAGTCACAAAATAACAGTAAATATGCTATAATCTCCTGCCGTGGGTGAGGCGAGAGGGTGTGTCAAACTCTTACTGACTAAATACCACCCCGTTCCTACTCCTGCTTCGAGGCCATTTGGTTTGAGCCTCGATTCTATTATCAGGCTGTATTTTTTTTCCATTTTGAATAGTTTTTTTTGTAATAATGATGATTCAATTCGTGTATGACGCATGACAATATTTTATAGACGTGTTTAAATAGTCACGATATGTAAATTTACGAAGCGCCTCTGTCTACCCCTTTTATAAAACACTACAAACCCACCTTATATCCTAAATAGGAATCAAACAGTGCACAGTCAATTAAAAACAAATATTTATTAATTAGTGTAAAAAAAAATACAAAATTGTAACAATAAATACAAAATAGATGCATTTAAATTAAAATATTTAATTAAAAGATTTGAAAAAACAAGTGGTTTCAGTGCAGTTTGAATCCTGAGCCTATCATTTGTTTTTTCTAAATTATCAAAATACATTAATATAAGGTGTAATAGAATAATCATACTTGTAGATCAATCACCAGCCGACCCTTAACCATCTTTTAACTAAGAGTTACTTAGCGTTTGGGAACACCTAAACTACCACCTGCCTGCACGGTTAAGTGTCATTTATAGGTATAGGTTAGGATAAAACCAAAACGTCGTTAAGTGTAAACTATCTTTTGATAGGAATTTCTTAAATTAAAAGGCCTAGAGGTTGGTGAATATACAAAAAAATAAGTCAATACACAAATAGTGGAAAAATAACTTTCTTAAAGAAGAATTTAACATGGCTAAAATCGGGTCTTCAAAATTTATTCTATTATACCTTTTATAAACAAATACGTGTAAAAATCACAAATATACAGGTTAAAAAGCTTGCTAAGCTTCAAATCAACATGACAAAATCATTCATTCACTCTTTGAACGAGTGAACGAAAGACCGAATGAATTCTACGTATTATTATTATTGTAGTGAATTCAATTAATTGAATTTTTAAGAAAAGGCTGTATCTGTATATAAATTCTAAAATTGTAATATTCATATTCTGACTGTTACCCAATTACACCCAGAAGTGTAATATTTATATAGAAAAAGCCTTCAATTGAATGATTCAGGAGTGAATGGAATTGAATGAATGAATGAACGATAATTTTTACTGTATTGTATAAATTGTATGCATTTTATATGAAAATCTAATATCAAATTATGTATAATAAAGTATATAAGCTGAGTTTTTGTGTTTTAATGAATCCTGAAAAACTGATAACCACTGCAGGGCTATGAGCCTCTACATCAGATGGTTTGCCATCATCGCAGGTAATTTGGAGATCATATTTTTTAATGGCATAAGCCGGGAAACGAGCAGACGGATCACCTGATGGTAAGCAATCGGCGTCGCCCATGGACACCTGGAACACCAGAGGCGTTACAAGTGAGTTACCGGCCTTTTGGGGATTAGGAGTTTGAGGATCGTTGGGGATTCAGGAATTAGGGAGATTGGGGAAGGGGAGGGTAATTGGGCCTCCGGACGACGAAACACAACGCAAGCGTTGCTTCCCGTCGGTTTTCTGCTCGGCCGTGGTATCACTCCGGTCGAGCCGGCCCATTCGTGCCGAAGCATGGCTCTCCCACACTTTTCAAACAGGTTCAGGTTTATCAGAGAGCGATGCTACCTGAAATTAATCTATACTATAATACTAGCTACCCGGCAAGCTTCGTACCGCCTACAATTTTATTCTCACCTTTTAAACTTTCCCTGGACTTCCACGAACGTGTCAAGAGCAAACTTAAACAAATCGGTTCAGCTGTTCTCGAGTTTTAGCGAGACTAACGAACGAAACTCTTTACGAAGCAGTTGAAAGACAAATAAAATATTTTTATTTCTTTAATAATTTATGTACACACAAACAGCACAGAGGATAACACATATAAATATAAATACATAAAATAAGAGTACAAAGGTGCTACTTATTCCTGTTGGAATTTCTTCCAGTACACCTGAGACAGGAATTGTAAATTAAAATATAAGGCACAGTGTGTAGGTAACAGAAGATAAAAAACAAAAAATTCGATAAGAAATATGCATAATAAACCTATAACTATATTATAAATAAATATAATATAAATATAAATACTTATTATATAATAATAACAATAGATAAATAAATACTTAATACCTATATACCTACTAATAAAAATATTTTACGAGTTCGTAACTTGTAGCACTGTTTTCACGCGAAGAACCATCCGTAATGTTTTTATAATAACTATCGTGAGACTTACTAAATTAATTAAAATCGCGGGTTACTCACGTGAATATACTGAGAAAAGCTCTACTAGTTTCAAGCCACAGCGGGGCTCTTCCTCGTGAGCAGCGTGCGAGGCCGCGGCGATGTCGCGCAGCCAACTCTGGCTAGAGTGTAGTATTTTCCCGTTAGAATTTTTAGTTAAACTATCCGTAAAATCCATATTTCAAAATTGGTGGATATCTCGATAATACAGATATCCGGATACGTATATTGGAAGCCTTAGACTAATGGTAAGCTGACACCCTAGCTTAACTCCCTCCCGCTTTACCCAGGCGAGAGCAGTCATTCGATGATTTTCCCCCCTTAAAAAAAAAATAATAAAAAAAGCCTAACGGTGTCAAACGTTCAAAAGGTGTAAACATTTTGGGGTTAAAAGACTAGGGAGTGTGGATTTTTACCTCACTATAACCACCCCGGTGGCCACCCTCAACACCTGTAAAGGACACCGGGTTTTCAACAGACCTGCCCCAGCCCCCACAGTGCAACGCGAATGCCTGTTACGCCACATGAAGAAGCGTGTCTCCCTTAACCTAAGCATCTACCTTCGTTTGCAACAACTGAGGTATCAAAAATGCATTGTCGACTATTAAGAAATTGAATTAGGTAGATATTAACCCGTCGTGTGTCTAAAGGCGCGGGCCCACCGCAGCGCAT